ATGTACATCATGACGTGTCATTAAAACTGATTTAAATATCAATGATGAATGTCATTATTTTGCTAACAGAGTCACACATAGCCTGCTCAGGCTTCGGGAACTCTCCCTGTTGATATTACCCCCTGTGTAAACTCTGCCACAGTCAATAAAAAAGTTAAACTTTTAAACTGTCTGATTTAAGTTTGTTTCAAAGTCTGTTTCACATTGTCTTTTTTTCAGCATCTGGCAGTATTTGGATTTTCTGTAAGTATTTCTATGTTATATTCATTTCTGCTTCTACCCCAACTGTATTTTAGATGCAAAATATATATTCCCAGACAGCACCAATCAAATATTCTACTAATATTACAGCTGTAATTTGAGACTCACCAAACCAAAGGTGCAAATAAATGGCACTACACTGCGAACAATCACAGCTGATTTCTAAAACACTGCTAGGAATCAGTGCTGCATGTCACCTGTGACAGGTTGAAAGATCATTTACATCAGAAAGCCTCGAAGGCTGGGCAGAGTAATTAAAACATGGGTGTCAAACATAAGGCCCAGGGGCCAGAATCGGCCAGGCAAAGACTCCAATCCACCTCATTGGATGACTTTAAACTTTTTACTTTTAAATGTATTTTAATAAATCTCAGTCTATTGAGCTGATAAAAACCTCCCCAGTGCCCATTAATATTATACCCCAGTAATTAAGTAATAAAGAACAAAACTGTTTTTTAAACAACTTTCTGCAGAAATGTCTGTTTTTGGGTTTTGTTTATTTATTTATATTAATTAACACAAACGTATAATTAGAGGACAGTCTGCGGAGCGAGCTACCAGAATCTTTTCCTGTAATTTTACACGTTTATTTCTTAAAATTTAAGACCAAAGAGTCAAACTCAAAGATTTTTCACTTATTTCAGCAGCATTTCTGTCTCATGGAAAATCTAGTACATACGGTTGGAACTGCATTCCCTTTTCTTATATTACGATGTGTTTCAGTGGTCCATCATTGCCGATACCAATAAAGATACTGATACTTTTAGCTAATAAACACCAGTTTATGTAGGGGAGATCCGTGTGTCATAATAACTTATGAGATGAATCATCAATTTTCAAACTCTGAACACATTTAAATGACTACTAAATTTTTTTATTTTCCACAATTATTTAACACAACAAAACAAACTTTTCAGCTAATTCCTTGATTTCGAAACTGAGACTTTTGGAGACCTGGAATGTAAATGCCTGTCTCTGAAACACTGTCCGTGAACATCTGCTGTTTAAATGTGCTATAGGCTATAAATAAAACAGACAAAACATTCAGACATTTTGACTTTTTAATAAAAAAAACAACAACAAAGAAAAGCCCAAAACATTTATCTGACAAAATTCAGAGGGCTACATACCGAACAGAGGATAGAAACAATGTATCGATCCTATCTCGCTGGTTTCGTAAGACCTGTCAGCAGTCTGGAGTTGCTTCACACTGAAAGCATTTGGAGCCTCGCTACATGCTGCCAAAC